TTTGAGAGATTTGAATCATTGTTTCGTTTTCTTTGCACACGATGACATACAAATGAATTTCGAGGGCTTGAATCTTCGTGGATTAAGGCGAATGCTCAAGAATGCCTTTTGCCTCGAGGTTATTGACTAGGTAATTCTTGTGCAACAATGTGAGTAGATACCTTCAAGGATGCAGACAGCACTATTATATAAATGTGAGGTCAACCGANCGAACAGAATCTTTACTGAGGACTAGTTTTTTCGTTGTCACAGTTTACTTGCTTACAACTGCGGGTTCCGTGGAGAAAACAACGGTCATCGTGACTCATGGTTGCAAAATCCTGACTATTCTTTAATCCAGGGATCCAGATTAGTTCCAAAATAAATCTGCTGAACGATCACGAGCAGAAAACAGAGCAACGGTGATGATCGATGATAATGCGAGCTTACGCTGACATATGACATATGGATCAAAACAAACGACACTAAACAGATCGGATAGCTGACAATACGAAAGTTTTGATCGTTGTTTTCTGAAAAACGAAATCCGAGGTGATACCTATGTATGATTTTCGATCAGTTATTGTTTCTTGGGTGATAAACAACAAATATTACTGAATATGAATGAACTGGGAATGAAAATTGCCAAAACTTTATCATACAAAGTGTCTCGTTTATCAAATCCCAAAAAACCAGCGATTCTTTAGAATATAATTCCCGGGACTGGAATCGTGACGAGAAGTCGAGATCCCATGCACCTACTATTTTTGTTCTGATTCGTGCCTCAGTTATCACTATACTGTCCTTGCTGATTTCGTGGTTCTCAACACTTTTTCAGGATCTCTTCTACATGAAATTTTGAGTATATCGCTCAAGTCAAGATGGTTAGCAATACTTCACAGTTATGTGAACTGAATGAAATCAGAATCGCCAGTAAGCATTAAACTACCAGAAATACGTCCTTCCCCATTCTTTCCTATAAAATCCACTTATCAAGCAATTCATGGATATTTTCATCAGACCATGCATATCAATCGCTTTAATAGTATCCAACTGAGTCGAAAGTTGCTCTCAAGCCATATGATTTGGTCATGAGCAAGATAAATATATCACAAATAATGCTGAGGTACCAGCCAGTTTCCATACCCTTTGAATCAGGATCATACAGTTTGATTTCACACTCGATCGCTTACCAGCATTACTTGTGGCTCTGTTTTTGATTATCAAAGCAAAATGCAAATGCTGGCCAACACTTTTTTATTTTCGAAACGAATTTTGACATGACACAGTCGTGCCTACTTATCATTGTAGCAATAAGATAACAAAGCAACATGTGGAGTATCCGCAGGACGAATGTTACAAAAACTATGCCGCAACACTGAGAGTCTCCGATAAAACAGGAGAGATTATAAAAAATCACATGAATAATGGTCAAGTCAAGTTTAATCCTGGAAGATGTGACTCATCATACCTTAGCTGCAAATTGTGGTAATGGCTGTGAAAGTGATGTCATGATGATGGACGGAATGTTGTTGATGAACTTGCTGGAGTGCTTGTTGTTGTTGCGAAATAGCGCAATGAGTGGTAAGCAGTGGTGGTGAGTGATATCAATATGGATTATACAATTCAGGATATGGAATGAAATAAATGTGTTCAATAGGATATGGTATGATTAAACTGGTGAACACAACAATTGACTTCGCGCGATGGTGTCTGGAATTATTGCAGTCGGCTGGTTCGGGTTCGGCGACGACGAAGGCTGCTGACTGTTGGTCAGTTGGGAAGGAATGGTCAGTGAGAACGAACGAACGAAATGGTATGGTGGTGTGGACGCGAGCGATAATTTTGTTGCCGCTGATGACGATGACAGGAATGAAATCGAAAGGAAAAGCTGCCTGCAACTAACGACGCAACACAACACACTCTTATTCTCTCGGTCACTATTTGCGCACAGATCAGATCAATCGGATGCGATCGGATCGGATCGTCGTTGAATCAGCAGCTCGTTCAATCATGCATCCATCCACCCAACAAGTCCCATACGTTCAAATGCGCTTGCTCGATAACCTATTTCCCTAAATTTTCACTTTTATTCCACCGTCCATCCCGTCTTGCATGCACATTCGTCTCTTGCCTGTCACACATATCACCCTTTCGACCCTTTGACGGCCACCACTTTCAATTTCACCTAAATTTACTATTATCAGTCTTAGAAACAGAGATCTGCACAGAGATACACACACATACGTA